AAAATATAAAAATATTCAAAAAAAGAATTATATTATATCTTATAATTTTACATTTAATAATTCTTTTATTTTTATTTTTATTAATTTACTTTCAAATTCAACTTGTATTTAAATATTTTCTTTTTTGTTTAATAATAGATATTTGTAAAAAATGAATAGCAATTATTAATATAAATATTTGTAAAGAAATAATTGAGAGTGTATATTTATCTAAAAATAATATAACAAATATATAATACTTATTTGTTAATTGTTGCAATATATTACAACTTTAAAGTTTTATAAGTTATAACTAATTGTAACTAAATAATATTTTATTTGTTATTATATTGTAATAGTTTTTATATTATCTTTATTTATCTTTAGTATTTTTATTAGAGTTTTTTAAATTATTAAAATCTATTACAAACTCACAAACTTTAATTTACTAATTAATAAATACTAAATTAAGTAAAAGAAAAAAGAACTTATAATATTTTAATTTATAATATTAGAATCAATAATATTATAATTTGTAATAATTTTATTTGAATTTATAATATTTTGATTAATAATAATTTGGTTATATATTCTTATATAATTAACTGATTAAAGTTTTTTTATATAGTTAAATATTTTTAAATAGAGATATATTATTTAAAAATAGCTAATTATATAAGAAAAATTTAACCAATTAATTAATTAATTAATTAATTAATAGCTAACTAATTAAGAGTTAAAATATTAAATTTATTGCTAATTTTACATTTTTTTAATAATTATTTGTATTATCTAGCTGATAACTTATAGTTGGTAATTTTAAGTTAATAATTGCTAGTAAATAATTTTTTGTGTATAATTTCTAATTAATATTTTTGTTTTTATTTTTATAAGTCTATAAATGAAATATATAATTAATATAGTTAAAAAATTATTATAAAAGGAATTTCTTTCAAGTAAAAAAAACTCATATTCTAATTTAATAAAAAGTATTAACTTGTAAATTATACTTGTTAACAAATTTTTCTCTTAATTATCTTTAAAGCTTGTATATAAATAATAGAAAATTTCTATTATAAATAAATTATATTGTTATAGTAATAATAATAATTTCACAAATTCAAAAAAACTATAACTTTAAAAAATAATAAAAAATAAAAATTCTTTAAAAATATTAAAATATAAAAGATAGTAAAAATAACTTATTAGATATTATTATTTTATCTCTTATTTTTTTATTTTATTTTTTTATTATTTTATCTTTTATTTTATTTTTTTATTATTTTATCTTTTATTTTTACTTTATATTATTATTTTATTTATTATTTTATTCTTTTTTTACCTTTTTATAATTATTTTATCTTAACTTTATCTTATTTTATCTTTTTTTTACCTTTTATTTTTATTTTATTTTCAATTAGTCATTTTACTTCTTAGATAATTATTATTATTCAAAATTATATTTTTGAAAAATATATAAATAGAGATGCTGTCTGAGTCTTAATTTAATATGTTGCAAATAAAAAATAAAATTCTTTCTTAACAAAAATCTTCTTCCAAATAATATTTATTTTTCTCACTTTCTATTATATATTAAAGCTTGTATACAAGTGATTTTGAATCATATTGTACCAAATAAAACACTGATAGCTTTGCATTATATTGTGTTAAACAAATTGCTATTGTTAATTTTGGATTTTAAATTGTATTATGCTAAACAAATTACTATTATTGAATTATTAGCTTTATATTATATTGTATTAAACAAATCATTGTTATTAGAATTATAAATTTTGAATATTAAGTATTTTGATTTTTGTTATTTTGATATTCCTCATTCATGAAAAAACAAAATGAAAGAGTCTTTGTTATTGCTATTACTAATAATATTATCTTAGTTCTGAAAAGCTTTATGCAAGTACAGAGAATTAGTCTTTTAAATTCCCTTTATTATTTATTCTTTTATATTTTCACTCTCTCTTTTTGATCTTTACTCTTCCATAACTCTTTTATATTATTTATATATATTTGAATTATCATAATTTCTATAGAAATTAACATATTCATCTTTTCTTTTATTATTTCTTTATCAGTTTAATACTCTCTCCCAATCCAGGTTCAAGTTTGTAAACTAATTTAATGATTAGTAAACAAACTTGTAACAATATTTTGGAATTATTATAATATTTTTTTATCTTTGTGAATATTGATTTGTTTTGTAGGTCTTATCAATAAATTCTACTTGTTAATTAAAGTAATTAAGTTTAGTTAGTATTTACCTGAAAACACCTTTATTTAAAAAGACCCTTATCTTTCATTGGTGTTAATTTTCGTAAAAATAATCACAGGAGACCTTTAGAACTTTAAGAGAACCCCTCTTTCAGTAGATCATTCAGTCTAACTCATAATTAACGTGTTATGATCTCTTCGCCGGCCGGTTGAACAAACTTTCGAGGAGACATAACAATAATATTAAATAGAATTTCGATTAGGGTAGGGTTAGGTTTAGAGTTAAGGTTATCGTTATTGTATAGTAGGCGGGAGTATGATATATAGTAAAATTTCGCAAGGAGCATTTTTTATTAAAGCACAAACGATAGTTTCATAGGCAAAATATAAGATACAAACTATTTTTCAAAATAAGCATTTGTTTTGAATTTTGTGTTGCACATGAATCTTGCGATTTGATTGGTGCATAATTTTAAGGGTAGATCAGATGGTCGGAATCACATGATCTGCCATTTCTTGGTCTTCACTTTGTTACTAATTGATGTCGTCTTGACGTCATTAAATCTTTATGAAGTGGAAAATATCAAATTTAGTTGTTAGGTAAATTAATGCTGCGTCAATCAGTTTTTGTTTAAATAATTAGGAGAATATTTAAATAAATATTTCATTTTGAAAAGGAGAATCAATTTCTTTTGGGTTTTAGTGATAAATTCTATTTTTTTTTTTGCTATTAATGTTCTTGGATAATAAAAAACGTGAGTTATGCTTTTAGTTATCGTTACGCATTTGGAGAATCAAAAAATCGGGTTATACACGTCAAGTGTATTCGCTATACGTAAATGTACGTAATAGGCAAAGGCATGTTGACAACTACGTACATACGTACTTCGATATCGATATCCTGGTATCTCTTACTTCATTGAAAGACAAATTTTGTTTGAGACTGTTATAATGTAATCTGCTACAATAAAAATAAGTATAGCACTATTAGGAGAATTTCAATACTTTTTTTCATAAATACATCTCATGTTAAGATTTCATTATAGTCCTTCTATCAATTGAGCTTCTTCTTAAGGTTTTTTTCTAGCATTCATATTAAAATTAAATGCATATCTAAGAGATATCAATAGTTTTGTTTTTGTATCCTAATATGTAGTAAAGAAAATTCTTTTTTGTTTAATAAAGTGTACAAATAATTCGTATGCTGAAGTAAATTCTAGAATAAACGCAAAAGACTTATTGGTTTTTCTAGTTCGACAATGTATAACATGAAAGCAACATAATTTTTGTGCCAATAATTACTTAGAAGCAGTGTTGTGGATCCTGATGAATTTTCTATATTACAAAACATATTCGACAATACGTATTCATAATTGATTATTTGGCATACTATTTGTCCTTACCTTCATGCAAACAAATTCCAAAGCATCAAGGGTAAAAAAGATTTTACGTACAGAAATTGTATAGAAAATTTGTTGCTAAATATGTCTTGATAAACGTATTGTTTACGATCAAGTATTACATGTACTTTTTTATAAATTTTGCTCGAGTTTTTTGTTAGCGTTAGGGAGTGATCATAGTGACGTCTTTTATTAACTTCCCATTTTTTTAAAATGAGATTATTTCTGTTTATTCCTTAAAACCGTCAAATAAAATTTTTCATTTCCTGCAGGCATCTATTCTTTAAAGTTGTGATGTTCTTAAATTAATGCTTCAATTTTTCAAAAAATTGTTTTTGGTGATTTACATGCAATAGCACTAGTGTCCTAAAGCTTTGAATAAAAAAAGATTATGAGCGTATCAAGAAACTACCTTTACGAACTGTTATTTACAGAAATTTATATATACATTGTAAAAACGCTGTCTTCTAAATTTTTTTAAAAAAAACAAATCTATTGTATACACCTATTTGCCAAGCAAACAAAGAAATCAAAAAAAAAACCTAGAATCCGTACTAGCGCTAGATTATGTTGGGTAACCTTAAACAAATGAAACACTGAAATGTAAATAGAATTCTCAATGCAAAGCCACTTACAGAATACGCTTATTGCTACTTTCATGGATATTTTGGTGACACACATTTTGCATGAATTATAAATCGCCATGACGTTCGAAACACTTTACCGATCAGATACACTAACGCTAATCTACATTGCATTGTGTAAATTAACGCTGTTGCGAAACATTTGATACCGATACAAATATTTTTTAGACGAAAAAATTACCGATAGAATAAACAAAACCAACAAAATCGACAAAACCAATTAAAATCATGGATTTAGCTTTCCTGTGAGACTTATTTGATTATAGAGGTTTAGCGTTAGTTGGATTTTTGGTCGGCTATTCTACCTTTAATGATCAATTTGAGTTAATAAAGACAACGATAAAATCCGATTAAACATCGATATGTAGTGTTAAACAATTGTAACGCACAGGATAAACTTTTTTTGAATCAGAGAATGTAATGATTGGACACATAAAAATGCCAAACTATGTCAGTAAAATGCAAACGCTTTATTCGTACATGCATCGTTGCGGTTGATGCAAATGTAAGATGTTTAAATTAAATGCTATTTGTCCGCTGCAGTCTGTTATAGTTTTAGATATTAGCCTGCTGCAGTATGTTTTAATTTTCGCATATTAGGTTAGTTCCTTTGCGTTGATGCAAAAGAATATAAAGAGAAATAGGATCAAATGCCAAGGCTTTCATTATTTATTTTATTCCGAGATCCTTGAACTTTTTTTTTCAAAAAATAACAAACTTATACATTCATTAACGTTAAATTTAACAAATGTCACACAATTTTTCCCAAGACTTTTATAAAAGAATAGTTGTCTTTGGTGATTCCTATTCAGGTAAATATTTTTATGCACTTCCAAGTCTTTATATTTTATTCACATTACTAACCAACTCGTCTTTTTCTTGGATTCAAAACAGATACGAACAATGTATACAAACTAACGGGGGGAGAATGGCCAGCGCCACAATACTGCAAGGGTCGATTCTCAGATGGACCTGTTTGGTCGGAATATGTAGCGAAAGATCTTAATTTAGAATTAGTCAATTATGCGTATGGAGGAGCAACATCAGAGTATGTTTGAAGTTAGCATTTCTACTAGCATTTATTCATGACGGATTTATTCTAATGCAGTTTTCCGCTTTTTATTTCGTCCATTTAGTAATCGGTCGATTAAAGGTAATTTTGAATTTCAATTTAAATTTCTTTATTTACTTCAGTAGCATTAGACAGTGTCTTAAGGTTGTCATTTATCTTGTAGGTTATTCAGGCAAAAAATGTGATGTTCTCGTTCCTGGGATGCTACAACAGGTTTCACAATTCTTAAAAGATTTCTCGTCTAAAACAAATTTCGATAATACTCTCGTAGTGGTAAGTCATAATAAAATCATTTCTGAATTTCTTAATAACATAATTTAATAATACATGTATCAATATTATCAGACATGGTTAGTATTTAACGATTATGGCTTCTCCAACTTCACCGCAAACCCCAAAAAAGTAGTCTCACGGGTAGCACTATCCTGGAAAAACCTCTACGAAAACGGGGTCCGAAACTTCTTAATACCGAATATCCCTGACTTCACATACTACCCTGTGTTCCGAACAGAAAGCGTCGCACACATTGCGCGTCTAAAAACTATTGTTCGGAAACACAACGACGCATTACAGAATGCCATACAAAAATTCCGATATGATTATCCGGACGCAGTAGTTCATACTTTTGCAGCCGATCAGTTTTTCAATTATTACCGAACCATCGAAGCAAAGTTTCGTCGGGTCGTGTATACGAAAGAGGAGAAGGAAGAATACGATAATTGTGCGAAATTGTGTGTGAGTGTTGAGGACATGTGCAGGCACAGACGTACTCGTAGTCGTCGACGAAATTCGCTGCAGAAGAGTGTTTTTTATATTGATGATTATCATCCGGCGACTAATGTTCATTTTGCGTTCGCAGCTGGGATTACAGAGACTTTATTGGACTACTTTATGTATAGTAAATGTCAATAATTTCTTTTTACTAAGCAGAAATTGAGAAATGATTCTAATGCGTATATTTATTAGATATATTTTAGACCATATTATTTAGAGTCGGTTTTTTTTAAAGAAATTTAATATCTCTTTACACATAATTTGTAATTATAAAGAGTAGTCTTAATCATTGGAGCTCTTCATTGAAAACAATGATTCAATATTAAATTTTCGAGCCGTTATATAACAATAATTTAATGTCTTACTGTAGTTAGGAACATGATTTAGATTCAGTTCCGATCCTAGTGACGTCACGTTTAGCAAATTCTCTGATTAACCTTAATAACGTTTGATGAAAGATGTTGGCTTTCGATATAAAGATGGGCCCATTTCAATGCTTTCCCACCACTGTAAATAATTAATATTCAAATTGGCATTTTGGTAGCAATAGCTCTATCTTTTATTCTATTTGTTTTACGCAGTAATTGGAACCGCTTAAAAAATCCTAATATCATCGGTTTAACCGGTATATATATATTTATAACTATTAACTCTAAAATTTCATTCGTTTTATTATAATAATTTTCACTGATAAATGTGTTCTTTTGATGTTAATATCGATATATAAAGAAAATCAATACATTGCATTACGTAATGTTAAATATTTTTACAAAAAAGTGTTTGAACACTCCTACTGCATAAATACATATACATAGGGCTGTTAAAAGTCTCATGTGAGTCGGTCTTTGAGTCGTCTTTTGCTGAGTTGCTTTTGAGTCTGAGTTTAGGC